CAGTACAAATGCCAAACACCAAGAGAGATCTCGGTGACTCTGGGCTCTTGCCAAGATCCCTTTATCTGTTTCCACACAAACAGGTCAGTGACTCAGAATGCTCAGACAAGCTTAGCCAACTCTACTCACAGGACACTTGGTAATGTCACTGTGCAGCGTGCACATGTTCCCTGAAGGCCACAGGCTCCGGCCCTCACATCACTCTTTCTCTAGTCCCACCTAAAATCCATCCAAACACTGGTCCTCTGTTTCAGGAGACAAGAGTAAACTGGCAGCAGTGCATCTAGAACCCAGGGTTCTCTAGGCAGCAACACAAAAGCTTGGGGACAGGGCCTCATCTGCGGAGAGCAGCTCTATGAACAACCATTCACTACACTCGGCCCCTGGTGACATGGGTTGACCCAGGATAACCTCAAAGTACCTCGACAGGCAGCAAGATCATTGACACACAATACTTGGTCCAGAAAGGCCCACTGGGTCACAAGAGAAAGTGGGAGACAGCCTTGCTGGAGTGGCATAGGCAAGTAAGCGTGATAGGACCCACAAGGTGCTGTCAGTGGTACAAAGGATAACGACCAACACCTGCTCCTCCTTGGACTACACAGGGCACCAAAAGCAGAGCACCCCCCAGCCAATGATCCCAAGCCCCCATCTAAATAGCATCCAGTTCCCAAACCTTTCCCTTTCATGGCAGACAGGAGTTTGAAAAGAGCAAGGGCTCCCCTCTGTTCAGCTCTACTAGAGCTCACAGAAGTAATCTAGCCTGTGTTTTGATTCAAAACAAAGAAACTTTTAAAAAACATTTCAGTTGAAACTTGCATAATTCTTCCAAAGTAGAAACCTTCCCTCAACTTTCGCAATCCTTAGAAAGAGACACTATTGCACAGAGTCCAGCCCCAGCCATGGCCATCTCACCTCCTGCCAGACAGCAGGGGCAGGGCAGCCCCTGAACCGCAGCCTCCCTGCTGGGGCTGCAAAGACAGCAACTTGGACCTGGCCCAGGGGGGCCCCCACCCAGCTCCAGGGCAGGGCTGGGTTCACACTTGGCCCAGACTTCCTCACCCTCTACATCCTGTCTGCCCTTAGACACTTCAGACAGACATTACACAAACCAACTACAGGGGAGGTTGAGAAACGCTGAGAGTCAATGACCTTACTCTTGGAAGCTTCTTGATGACCCAGGGCCTCCAGTGGGCAGCCAAGGACAGGGGTGAGGGCTACTCAATGACCCTGCTTCCTCCAGATGGTGAGGGACCCAGATGGCTCCCAGAGGAGCCCCAGAAGGTAGCAGGACAGATGGACAGATAGGCTGACAGGCCACAGAAGAGAACTTGACCCTCTCAGAGGGGGATGAACACCAATAATCATTCCCACCGCCACCCACAGCTGGCTATGGTGTGTGTAGCACCCAGAGCCCACCCTCAAGCTGTTGTCCCACCCTATGAAGACCCACTAGCCTTGGACTGGACCCACCACCTGGGCAGCCATCCCAGGGAGGCCCCTCCTGGACCAGGCCCTGACCTCAGGACCTGGAACCCCACCTTTTTGGTGCAAGTGTCTGGAGGGGAATAATCAATGGTAACTCTAAGAAAGTCCAACACAGGACATGATTCTAGGGGACATTCTTCACAACGATGCCAGTGGACAGAAGAAAAGAACACCCAGACCTGCAGGTGTTCGAGAGACAGGGTCCTAACATATTGACACCGTCCTCTCCTATATCAATCTTCTCGTAAGGACAAACCACAGTTGACCATGGTGGTGCACAAGTGTGATTCCATCACTCAGAAGGCAAGACCCTTATCCCAAGAAGACCAAAAGAGCAAACCATAACCCACAGAAAGGACTCCTGAACCCAGCCCTGCACCCAAAAGCTGTTACCATGTCCCAAAACACCCAGTATTCAGTGTTCCCTAAAGCTGACCACCCGGCTAGGTGTCCAGTTTAGAAACATGACCTCAGTCATACTGTCCACATAAAGTGACCCTATCAGCTGACAGAACGTCCTGAGAACCCAGGCTCAAAAGAGGACAGAGATGCAATAACCTAAGATAACCCAAGCTCCTCCACACCAAAGCCCACTTGCTATGGCCAGGAGTCACCGCAGCCCGTGGCCAGCCTGGTTTCCACCCTTCCTATGGACCAGCAGCCACATCCCACAAAGCACACAAAGTGGCAGCTCAAAATGTCATTGTCCATGTTTCTCTTTATGCTCATAGACTGAAGTCCAAGAGAAAACTGTCCAGGCAGCTGCAAGACGGGAGGGAAAGCTTTACAGATCCCATTCGTCTGTGCTGACCCAAGAAATATGAGTCTGAGACAGGTTCAACAAAGTGTTAGTCTCAAATGACATGAGGAAAATGAGGCACAGAGGGGCTAAGCATTTGCCCAAGCTCACACAGCCAGTGAGGATGGGAATGTAAGACCAACTCCATGAGGGTCCACAGCAGAACTGGCTCCCTATGGGTCTGCTGGGGAAAGCAGTCAAGGGGGCCCCTGGGAACAACAGGCTCACTGAGCATCCAGGCAGCCTACATCTTCAAAGCTTTACCAGGAGAAAGCTGGGCCTGACAGTCACAAGAGAGAAGTGGGATTTCCCATTTCCCCATGGCATTAGGAAGGCACTGCAGCAGACGCCCACCAACCTTTGCCAAGGGGGGTACAGTGGCCTGCAGCAAAGTTTCAGGCTCCAAGCTCAAAGTTCCCTACTCCCACACACACTCAGCTGACCACAGAAACCATAAGTCCACCTCAACCAGGCCAATTCTACCTGATCCAAGCAGACCCTACCTCAGCCACACAGAAGCCACCTCAGTCAGGCTGCCATAGAGCAAAGCAGCCAAATGTCATCAGAGCATCAGGAACTCAGGAGGACCACTGACCTCCACCCTCCCACAGAGCATTCCGCTCACCCTCAGCCCAAGAGACTGCACATTCTCTGCTCCTTGTGCCCTCCTCAGTAGAACAGAAATATTAAAACACGCTGTGACGGGAGTAAGGGAGTCATAACCCAGGCCACTCCTCTTAGGACAAGCTAAGACTTCCCAGACTGATGTCCCTTCCTGGGTGTTACCTGTGGTTCACGCAGGTACATACATGGCGGCCCAATGCGGACTGGAGGAGCACAGTCCAGCCCAAACCCCAACTATAGACTCATAGAGTCTGAGCAGGGAGCACCCCACAAAGAGGAAAACAGTCTACCAGTTCCTCACCATGGAAGCACTCAGGAGCTGGCCGACATATAGGAACCCCACACTGATGCCACCACTGCCTGAGTGGAGCTGGAGACACAAATCACTTTTGAAATTTCTCTTCACTCAGTAAATGAGGCATCAAAGTACTGCCAGGGTGGCTAGCAAGGGAAGGGCAGTTACAAACCACGGCGGAAATGACCCAAGCACATGACTATGGTTCAGCACGCTGTTCTGTGTGCTAACCCCTCGGTGCTGGCACGGGCATCTGAGCCATCTCCTCTGAGCCCAAAGACCCTCATACCCAGAACCACCAGGCTTGTGAGCAGAGGAGGCAGGAGTGTATCCCATTCAGCAGTGGCTGGGGCAAAGGGACCATGCCAGTCCACTAAACCTAGACAGAAAGACCACAAACACGCATGACCCGGAGCAGACAAACACAGACACGCCCAACTCAGACACAATTCCTTGCCTACTCAAGATAAGAGGTGTGAAAGCTTCCCAGAGGCGCAGTCTCGCCAGTCCCACATCTCTACTGCGGTCCCAGAAAGTTCACCGGTCACCACACACATGACTACCTCAGGCCACATTGGCTGACAAGGGTGCAGACATTCCGACAGATAGGCATCCATTGGCAGGACCCACATCAGCCATCAGCTTGCCTACTGACAAGTCCACTTGAAAAGACCTGCCTGCAGCCTCCCCCAAGGATGCATTGTCCTGGCTGGGGCAGAAGTGCCATAAAATACGCAGCATATGCACACTCTCTGCAGCCCCTGAAGAACGAGGCAACGGTCCTTCTTCAGAGCCCCTTCCCCCCACAACTCTGACATTCTGCTGGAGGGGCGCCCAGAGAAAACCGGGCTGCAGCATCTATTCACAGATTTAGAAGGAAAAAAAAAAAGTTTGATGCAATAGCTGAATTAATTAGGTCTCCCAAGAATAGCTGAGCCAATGCAGCATTCTGTTGTGTGCAATTTAATAAGCATGGATATTTAAAAGTTACAGATACTTAGGATGCATATGCAAAGAAACTTCCTGTGGACCCCAGCGAACCGTTTAGGTACTAAGTGGCCCAGAAAATGCCGGAGAAGATTCCCACAAAGCCTCTTGACTCACGTACAACACAGCCTGGGCTGACAGAACCTCCACACCAAGTACAAAAGCAACAGAAGGAAATGGGTGAGTCCAAATATACTGCAGACCATCAGCGACTACCGCCGCTGACCAGGCCAAGTGCCCTTCAGGTGCACAAATGGGATTCAAAGGGCTACAAGTGCCAAGTCTCTGCCAAGACAACTAGCTAACTTCGTTTTAGTGTCTGTGCCCCGTCATTTAAAGACAAGAAAGCCAGTAAACATACAAGGCTAGTCAACTGGGGACCACGAGACGACATCCCTGTCATAAGGGGACAAACTTCATTCTCATCTGGACACCTCTGCCGAGGTCCCACGGAGATTTGGGACAGAAAAGTCACAGCCTGGGTCCAGACAGTCTAACCTCGCAGAGCTTGTGGTAGCCTCTTTCTCAGACCTCCTGAGCTCAGCCTACGGGGACAGGGGTTTTGAGCCCTGAGAGGGCTTTCTCACTCACTCTTCATGAGTACAGTGCTCAGACAGCACGAAGGCGGCCTTATGGCCTTACCCACAGGAGACTGACAAGGCCCCTAATTTCCTAAAATCAAAACCCAAGGCCAGATAAAGTCGAACCAGGAGCCCCAACCTTTAGAACCCAGAGTGCCCAACCCAGGAGGACTCCCCTCCCCTCCTTGGGCATGGTTTGCTAACCCCAAGCCCTGGGGACACTTACCCGGGGCACCCTCCGCTTGTACTTGTTGGCATAGTCGAACTTCTCCTTCACGTCGTCCAGGCAGCGGCCAAGGCGGGCCTGCTCCTCCTTGCCTGTGTAGTCCTGGCTCAGCAGGATGTAGGCCCGCCAGTTGGCTGAGTCGAAACCCCAGTGGCAGGTCCGGTTCTCCAGGGCCTTGTGCGAGTGTACCACGAACTTGTGCGGCGGGTACATGAGGCGGCAGTCGAGGCACTGGATGCAGGCGGCGCTAGGACTGCTGTACAGCTCGGGCACCAGCAGCCCCTTGCATTTGCCGAAGCACTCGTGGTACACGCGGACGCTGCGCTCGCTGAGCTCCAGGCCCAGCGCCAGGCTGGCCGCCAGCTCCTTCTTGCAAGGAGGCGGGTAGGCGCCGCCGTAGAGCAGCGCATTGCACAGGCGCTCGGCGTCCGTCTTGGTGATGAGCCCGCACGAGGGCGCGGAGAAGGGCAGGATGCCCATGACTTTGAGGATCTCCAGCTGGTCGGCGGTGCAGCGCGAGCAGTAGATGTGCAGCTCATCGCACACCGAGTTGATCTGCTGCAGTGAGAAGTCGCGCAGCACCGAGTTGAGGATCTGCGGCAGGCACAGACGCTTCTCGCCTCCCACTACGAAACAAGAGATGGTCTCCCCTTCCAGCACGGTCTCACAGCGCTCGGTGGAGCGATCCGACGGCATGAAGAAGGGCCCGGGCAATACGGGCGGCGGCGGCTGGATGGCAGGCAGGTGCAGCACGGGCGGTGGCTCCGCGGCAGTGGGCACCGGCGCCGGCACTGTGGCCGCGCCCGCCTCCTTGGCGCTCTCCTTCTTGTAGGCCTCCTGCGCCCAGCGCGCCGAGAAAGCGGCCGGGCCGCCCAGCGAGCTCATGGAGCTCAGGTGGAACTGCTCCAACGTCTTCTGCAGCCCCGGGTGCGGCTGGAAGCCGCCCCGGCCGGCCGCCGCCGCTTCCATGGTGCGATCGGGCTCCCCGGGCCGCTCCCGTGCGCCCGGGCCCCCACGGCCTCCGCCGCCGCCCCGCGCACCCCGCCGCCGACCGCGACCGCGGCCCCGACCGCCCCCCGTCGCCGGCTCACGGCCGATTACGGCCCCGGCCTCGGCCTCGCCCGGGGGCGCGAAGGCAAAGGCGGGCGGGGCGAAGGGGTCCCGCCGCTGGAGCCCGCCGCCACCCGGGCCCGGCGCCACATCCACGCGCCCTGCGCCGCGCCCGCCGCCGCCCGGGCCCCCCGCGCGCCCCCCGCGCGCCCCCCGGGCTCTAGGCGCGGGGCATGCCCCGGCGCGCGCCGCCAACGCCAACGCCAACGCTCGCGGGCCCGGGGCTCGCGGGGGGCGCGCGGGCAGGTGCCGGCGCCGCGAGGCGCGAATCGCCGCGGCAGCCGAGGCCGAGGGGCCCGGGAGGAGCGGGGGCGCGGGCGCGGGGCCCGCCGGGCCGTCCTCGCGCGGCGCGCCGCCGCTGCCCCGCTCCTCCCACCGCGCGGCGCCCGCTCGGCTCGTCCCGGCGGTGCTGGCCGACCGCGTCGCGCCCGCCGCCGGCCCCTGGCCGCCTGCCCGCCCGCGCGGCCGCCCGCCGGCTCCCGGCCGCCCGCCGGCCCGCGCGCGCGGCTCCCGGGGCGGCGGAGGCGCCTCTGGCCCGCGGCCTCAGAGCGCGGCGGCGGCGCGGGGCTCGGCGCGCTCGGCGCACATCTTTCGGGCGGCTCGCTCCGGCTCGGACTGAGCGCCGGGAGCTGAGCTCACGCCGCCGCGCGCCGCCCCGCCCCGTACCGCCCCGCCCCGCCCGCGCCGGCCCCGCCTCCCGCGTTGTTTGTTGCTGTGCGTCCGCCTCAGCCGAAGTGCGGGCCAGGAATGTGACCAGCTCCGGGCCGGCTCTTCCAAGAACGCGCGCTCCCCCTCCCGGGCTCGGTGGCGCTCGGCTACTCCCGGCCCTCACTCGGCCCAGCTCGGCTCCGCTCGGGTCCCCCGGGCCGGAACTCGGCCGCGCTCGGCCCCATTCGGCCCCGCTCGGCCTCGCTCGGCGCTACTCGGTCCCGCTCGGCCCCGCCTTGTGAAGGCCGCTAGAGGCGGCCACAGCGGAGGCGCCTGGGGCCCCCCTTCCGGCCGAGGCCGCTTCCTGCGCGGCTGGGAAGTCTCCGGTCCTGCTGCCACCACGGTCTTGGGGCCCCGAAACCCACAAGGCCCCTGCCACAACCGCAGGCCAGCTGAGTGGCGGTCTGCAGTAGATCTGCGCCGCTGCTGCCTTAGGTCCCGGGGTCCTCATTCTACGGAGATACTGCGAAATAACCTCCACTCCCCATACAGTTGGACGTCGTGCTCTACAGACACCCCGGAGATGCACTCCTAACAAGGACACCACAAAACAAACCCCAGATGCCCTCATGACAAGGATGCCACAAAACTTTAGAGTCTGATTACAGCATCATCTCAAAGCACTGAGGGTCTGCACACGACTGTATGGATAAAGTACTATAACATGTATTCCAGGTTCCTGCATAAGGACACCACATAATACTCACGCCAGGCTGCCCTTATGATAAAAAGATACCACAAAAAAAAAAAAATCTAGGTGCCCACACAACCGGTATGTCACAAAGAACCATTCAAGGTCTCTGGTGCAGAACTGCCTGACATCTGGGTTTCCGTGTGTAGTAATGATGCCACCTGATAAACAGAGCTCCACACCCAAACCCCACACAGCTAGAATTGCAGAACCTCACAGCATGACCGAGGGATGCCAAGATGCAGAGGACACACAGCTATGGAAAGTTCCTGCGTCTTTCCACACAGCATCGACCACCCCGTGAACTTGCCGACCCAGCCACCAGCAGCTCCTGTCTACTGGATCCTGTTCTGTGAGGTGGGGACTTTGGGACACAGTCCTGCCTTGAAGAAGCTGTGCCTAGCAGCTATTGTCTCTTCTTGAGTCACCCATTAGCCGGTAGCTTGGACAACAGATCTCTGTGATTCTCAGGCTGGCAGCTGATGTGACCCTTACCCTTCAGTCTCCAGGACTGGGAACCAAATGCCCATCATGTATCCAGGTTATGGCTGCCACTGCCTGCCCTTTCATGTACTGGATGTAGGACAGTCTTGCAGGGTGACACCCAGAGTAGGTAACATACAACAAAGGCCTGGCACAAGAATTCAAAACCAGAGCCTTAAAGACAGTGTAAGTCAAGAAGTGGGAACTTGCCCCCCAAAGACCCGGACCTCAAACTGGCCCGCCAGGCACAGGTCTTTCCTGATGGGTGAAAATGAGAAGGGCCCCACACAAGGCAGCCTGGGTTGCCTTCAGCTTGTGACCTGTATTTTACCTGGTGGATAAGACCAGAACAAAACAACACTCCTAGACACAGGACCTGTCCTGGGGCTGCCCCTACCCACCCCAAGGCAGGGCTTGCTATTCAAAGTGCAGGGTTCCCTGTCTGAAAACTAGGTAGTTCCCTACGTAGAGACACAAGTCCATTCCTGAGTTCCCTGTGCTTGCCCACAGTACCCAGGGGATCGGCCTTCCTTCTTAGCATAATCCAGGCTCAAAGTTCACTCTTCTGACTTCTTTTGTAATGGAGAATTCCCACTTTTATCTCCTCTGTCAATACGTAAGACAACTGTAAGAGATTGGCAAGATGGTCCATCAGGTAAGTAGTTGCCCCCCCCCAAAACCTGACAACCTAACAGAAGAAAGAGAAAAATGGCTCCCATAATTCCTCTGCTGACTTCCATACATGTACTGTGTCATGAGCCTCCCTGCTACTTAAAAAAAAAATTCAGGCCGGGCGGTGGTGGCACACACCTTTAATCCCAGCACTTGGGAGGCAGAGGCAGGCGGATCTCTGTGAGTTCGAGACCAGCCTGGTCTACAGAGCTAGTTCCAGGACAGGCTCCAAAGCCACAGAGAAACTCTGTCTCGAAAAACAAAAAAACAAACAAAAAAAATTTAATGCAGTAAAATAAATAGCTTTTATTTTTTAAAAAAAAGTCAGCAGATTATTCCTTAAAGGAATATTTAAAAAACAAAAGAGGCTTAGTTGTATCCCTGTAGATAGCTTTGTCTGCCCACATGTAGACCCCTACAAATTAATGCTGCATTTGAGGAAGTGACTTCCTTGCATGCAACTGTATTCCACACAATTCAGGCAAATTGCATCCAAAGGTGGCTTGGACAAACCTTGAATAAACTGTGCATGGTCAAACAGGCTTTTGATCCCAGCACTTGGGAGGCAGAGGCAGGCAGATCTCTGTGAGTTCAAGACCAGTCTGGTCTACATAATGAGACCCATCTCAAAAAAAAAAGGCAAGGAACTTATGCTTTTATCTTAGTGGGACCCTGGACACCAATCTCAGCGGCCAGTGCTCTCAAAGATGCTACATGCGGTGTGTGGCTATCTTGATGCAAGGCCCAAGCCAGAGGCTAGCACTGGCCCTAGATGCAAAATCCAGTGAAGCAGCCATGGTCAGACGCAGTATAAAGGTACTTGTCCCTGAAGGGCATATAGGAGGGGGGTGCAGGGTAAAGAGCTCTAGAAAGCAAGGAAGGCTTCAGGCTGACTTCTGTGGCTTCCAACTTCTGCTCAGGACTTTCCCTCTGCTCAAAATGATGGAACTTGTGAAGCAGCCCAACCCAGAGGGTCAGGGCAGCTGTGACAGACAGTGCTAGCAGGGCCCCACAGCTCCCAACTCAGTGGAGGGTTTCCACCTGCTGGCTTTCTTCCTTCACCCTCTCCCGCAGCTGTCTGTCCCATTACAGGGTCATGCTATAGGCCAGGCCACCATATGGGTAAATGGAGCATGAAGTCCACAGGCACAGCCACGTTGGGTGAAGGGTTGGAGGCTCGGTACTGTGGACCTAGGGGACCTCCACCATGCAGCTGGAGGCAGGGACCCAACTGCAGCAGACCTATCCGGCTCGCTGCCTGGACCTTGCTCTGCTAGTGTTTTTTGGACAGCTGGTCAATTGCTTGTCTTTCTTCCATATGTGCACTTGCTGATCTCTCTCTATAAGTCTTAGCTAGGGCCTGGGACTGATGGGAAGGAGACCAGGTTCTGACCTGAGTGGCTTCCACTGTGTGAGAGAGTAACAGTGACAGGCATGACAGGCTTGCCCAGATAGAAACAAGCTCATGAGGTCCGGATGGGACTGGCTTTAGACAGAGAAGACTTCCTAGGGGATGGGTTCCTTGGAGTGAGAAACAAGTATATTGGAGACTGGCTGACAACTGTAGGATCAGAGAGAGTCCCAGTGTGCTCCTATTCTAAGGGGATACTCTGTGAGTGCCAGCCCAACACCTCCACAGACACCTTCCCACAGATCTTCAGGGCAAGGCAAAGCTCCTGGCCCCGAACCCACCACCCCTCCTTAGGATGGAAAAGATCTGTAGCACCCTGGCATAAACTGCCGTATAAACCATTACTGTTTCAAAACCTTGAGTGTGACCAGGTATGGTGGCTCACATGTGTGTTCCGGCACTTTGGAGCTTGAGCGTTGAAGACCCACGAGTTAATTGAGATTCAGACCAGCACAGCTACAGAGGAAGAGTCTGTCTCCAAACAAACAAACAAAATCAGTGTGAAGGAAAAAAAATAGCAACATGTCTAGTTTAGGATCCACTAAAAACAGACCCTTAGCAGACAGATTTAAGCTGGGAGATGGTGGCGCATGCCTTTAACGCCAGCTCTCAGGAGGCAGAGGCAGGTGGATCTCTGAGTTCAAGACAAGCTTGGTCTACAGAGGAGTTCTAGGACAGCCAAGGCTAAGCAGAGAAAACCTGACTCGAACTCGAAACACACACACACACACACACACAAAAGAGGAAGACATTTGAGTGTGACTCATTTGTTTAGGAGGCCTTTCCAGAAAGCTCAGGTGGGATCAAGGCTGTAAAGGACAGAAGGGGAGCCAGGCCACCAGGAGTATGGGGAGAAGCTTTTAGCCCACAGCAGACTCTTCACTTGCAAGGAATTCAGAGCCATCCTTGGGGTTGCCACCCGGGGGCAGAGACCCATGGTTGAGGGACATGCGCAGGACCAGAGAGACTAAGTCTGTACTGAGAATGTATGAGGAAAACAAAGCCAGTTTCTCACTATTAGAGACAGGCGTTATTAATGGAATAAGCGGTGGCTGGGGAGATGGATCAATTCTCAGGAGCTCACTACATAAACATAAGAACCTGAATTCAGACTGGGTGGTGGTGGCCTGGGATTCCAGCACTCAGGA